GGAGATTGAAAATATTAGCTACTGCAGTTTGGAATAAGATCTTCGTGGGTTGCTCCACAGATCATTAAGATGCAGGTCATCAACTGGAAGGGAGCCTTGTTTCCAGGCAAATTCTAGTTTCTTTTCAGAAGTAAGCGATTCTGTGAACCTCTGGCCTGTGCCAGCACACTAAATACCAGTTCTCAGCTAAATACTGAACAATGGATTTCCCTAAAATATGTGTTGTTCTCATTACCTTCCCTGTGTTTGATTGCCCCTTCTGATTAGTCCTAATTAACGTGCCATTAACTAACCTCTCTCTCAATACACTAATTCATGTAAAAAACATTTTTTTCCAGACTTCTTCTGTGTCCCTTCAGTACAGCAAGCTCTTTGCCTACAAATTAGTTTGGTCACAAAATGTCACAGGTTGTCCAGAACTTGTTTAGAAATTAAAGCACATTTCATAAAGACATTATAATTTTCTAGCTCATCCCACAAAAGCATATTTAATGTGCTATAGTAGATTAAAGGTTATATATTCGCAATGAAAAATGATAGAAAACAATCCTGCTAGAGCAGTTGTAATTAAACCAAATTGGGTAAGCCAGGCTTTATTTATCTCAAATGCTAGTGACTAAAGAAAAGCAAGCTTAATTAGAAGGCAACCAGGACAAGGATGGAGCCTTTTGTAGAGACTTTAAAGGGAACTTTTGAGAATTTTTGATTGAAAATATTAAAGAATTAGTATCATTAGCAGTGCCACAGGTTTGTGTACAAAATATGTAAGTACTTATTTTCTTTGTATTAGCATATAAAAGAAACCATTTCAAAACATAATAAAATCAGTCATAATAGCCTAACTAGTAACTGTTTTCATTCATTATATTTCCCAACTTTTGGTCACATGTACACATATTTTCATAATTGATCTCAGTGTAATGACAATGTTCTATTCAGCTCTTTTCATTTGAACATTTATGCCAAGTATTTTCAATACTTCTATACCCTTGACACTGTTTTATTTATTTATTTATTTATATTGACATATAATTCTAATTGTACATATTTATAGGGTACAAGGTGATGCTTCCATTCATGCATTTATTGTGTAATTATCAAATCATGGTAATTAGCTTATTCATTACCTTAAACATTTTTCCTTCCTTTGTTGTGAGAACATTCAAAATCCTCTTTTCTAGCTACTTGAAATATACGATGGATCTTGTTAACTTTACTGTAGTAACTTTACTCTGGTAACTTTACTGTGCAATAGAGCGCCAGAACTTATACCTCCCATCTCACTATAACATTGTGCCTATGGACCAACCTCTCTCCGTCTTTCTCTCCCCAGTCTCTGATAACCACTATTCTTTTATTTTTTTTTAATTTATTTTTGATTGATTGTACGTATCTGTGGAGTACAGCATTGATTATCAATACCTGTGTGCAAAATGTGATGCTCAAGTCAGGATAATTAGTATATTCAACATTACACAATGTAATCAATTTTTGTGGCCCTTTACCAATTCATCCCTTATTCCGCCTTTCCCACCTCTGGTAACCTCAGTTCTGTTCTCTCCTTTTGAAAGTTCAACATATTATTGTGATTCTCTCTCTCTCTCTCTCTCTGTCTCTCTGTCTCTGTCTCTCTGTCTCTCTCTCTCTCTCTTTTCTTTCCCACTTATAAATGAGGACATGTGGTATTTCTCTTTCTATACCCGGCTTATTTTACTTAACATAATGACATAATGTTCTCTAAGTTCATCCATGTTGCTGCAAATGGCAGTATTCCATTCATTTCTCTGGCAGAATAGTATTCCATTCTGTATATATAGCACATTTTCCTTATCCAGTCATTTGACGATGGATACTTAATAGTAACAACTATTCTACTCTCAACTTCTGACTTTGAGACAACATTGATGAGCCTCAAGGACATTGTATTACTTGAAATAAGCAAGGCACAGAAAGAGAAATATCTCATGATCTCGCTCATGTGGAATCTAAAAAAAAATTGATTATTTTATTTTTAATTGGAGAAAAACATCTCATTGAGGAATCGTAATTTACCCACTCATCTTGTCTTTAAATCTTTTGGGGAGAGGGGTGTGGATCACAGAGGGCAGATGACAGGCCTGGGCTTGAGTCCTAACCTCTCCCACTTGCAGCTGTGTGACCTCGGGCAAGTTGCTTTTATCCTTTCTGTGCCATGGTTTGCTCATATGAAATTAGGACTAATGCTAGCACCCGCTTCAGAGAGTTCATAGCACCTACTGTTACAACTGTTGCTATGTACTAATACAACAAGTTCTTTCCAGGTGCCAGGTGTTGGGCTAGAGCAATTTGCATATATTAGTCTCTCAATCATTTCAGTGACACTGTGTTTGGGGGAAATGATGACATCTAATTAATTTTGACATCAAAGTAGTACATTTGCTAAGAAAAAACTTACTTTGGTTATATAAACTTTTGCATGGGCCCAGAAAAAAACATTAGATCCACTATCTATTTGACTAGGAATCATGTGCTTCATGCCTGGGTGGGAGAATCCCTGAGACCTTTTCAGGGGATCCTCAAGGTCAAATTATCTTAATAATCATACTAAGGCGTTACTTGCCTTTTGTCCTATCATTCTTCCATGAGCATACAGCGGACTTCTCCAGAAGCTACGTGACATGACAGCACAATAAACTGGGTGCAGAATCAGATATGAGAATCCTGCTGTCTTCTAGTAGATCAGACTACTTAAAGAGATTCAAAGAAAAGTAAAATGATACCACCTTTTTCTCTAAGTTATTTTTTGTTTTGCAAAATGTAATTATTTTAGATAAAAACATGTTATTTATGTTAACATAATGGGTTTATTACTGTTAATTTTTAAATAATTTTTTTTTAATTTCTAAAATAATTTAGCCTCTAGTACAGAAAATATTAATAGATAAGACACTGCCTACATAAACAAAAGATCTTCAGACTGCTCAATAATTTTTTAAAAATGTTGTATTCATCTGTTTTTGTTGCTTACAATGAAATACTTGGAACTGGGTGATTTATGAGAAAATGAAATTTATTGCTTACAGTTTCTGAGGCTGGGAAGTCCAAAGTCCAAGGAACACATCTGGTGGTGGCGACAGTGACCCCTCATACTGCGAGATGGTGGAAGCACAGAGAGCAGAGAGACCAACTTCCTCATTTACTCTCCTTTTAAAGCCCCCAGAACCACGACCCTGACCACCGTTATTAATCCATTCACTACTACGTGGTCCTGCAATCCAATCACCTCTTCAAAGCTCCACCTTTCATAATAGGATTTCCCACCCTCTTCACAGTCACCGTGGGGGCCAAGTTTCTAATACATAAAACTTGGGGGACACGATTCAAGCTTCAGCGAGTTTAGGGGACATTCAGTCTACTACGAATGGCAAGGGGTTCTAAGACCAAAATGTTCGAGAACTGCTGTTTCGAGTTAAGGGTAGTTCCTTCCTTAGTCTAATCTCTGTATTGGACAACCCAAGAACAGGTTTTCTGCTTCTGACTGGCTTCATGAGAGGAGTTTGTTGGAATTGAGGGGCCTGATAATTTTTTCCACATTTTTATTTGTAGGATTCTAAAAGATTTGAAGGCATCAACACTGACTTTAAGGAACTTGCTTATGATGCTCAGAAAACTCCAAATGTAGTGGAAGCCACCAACAAATCAGGTCTTTATGAAAAACTGGAGGACATTCAGAGCAGGTGATGGTCGGCTTCTCCTCCTTCTGTTTTGAAAACTTTATTTAACTGCCTGCGTGAATGCGGGAGTGAAGGTGTGTCCTGGGTGTGTGTCCCTTGCTTTTCCTGTACGTTAGGGCCACATGGGGTATTATTAGAGATGTTTATGCTGATGTAAACGTATCAGTGTGTGTGTTTGCAAATATCCATAAGCATTTCTTGTGCTAATTTCTCATAGATTGCATAAATTTGCATTTAGGTAATGTATGTGTACCTCTGGGTCTGAGCATACATAATTAGGAAATTCTGTGTTCTGTGCCCTCAGATTGTGCCTGTGTGAGAAGGCCCTGGCAGAGTACCTCGATACCAAGAGGCTTGCCTTCCCTCGGTTTTACTTTCTCTCCTCTTCTGATCTGTTAGACATCCTTTCCAATGGCACAGCTCCGCAGCAGGTAAGCGAGGGCTCTTTTAGAGAGGTCCAGGAAGACAAAGGAACTCCCAGCAGGAGAGAGCTTCAGGTTCCCGATTACACTTCCTCTCCTGGCAGTGTGTGTATTTCAGACCTGTGTTGCACCGGCGTCCTCACTAACCTCAGAGCATTCTTCATTCCCACCATCATTGCTGCTCAGGGGCCCTGCATCCCATCAGTGGCTCCTCCCTGAGGTAGAACTGGAGAAGCTTGGAAGATGGCAAATGTGGAGGAAGTTATCTTTTTACAGAGAATGCCTTTGATCTGATGCTGAAGGGAGACTCAGTAAATAGTGGTCAAAAGTGATTGCTACAATTTCCATGGGGAGATAGGACTGGAAGTTGTGTTAAGTGGACATTGCAGTGGCTTAGTGGAAAAAGCATATGTGAGGAGTCCAAAATTTTTGGTTCTAGTCTCTGATTCTAGCCACTTATTAGCCATATAGTCTTTGGCATATCACTTCTTTGCAACAAACTTTCCTCATCTGTAAAACAGGAGAAGCCTATTGCGCTATAAGGTCTTTTGAGTATTTCAGTAACTAATTGAAGCACTGTTGGTAGTTGGAGCTATAGACAGTAGTTCTCAAAGTTGAAAGTACATCAGAATCACATAGAAGGCTTGTTAAAGTACAGATTCCTGGGTCCCACTTCCAAAGTTTCTGATTCGGTGGGTCTGGGTGGGGCTGGAGAATTTACACGTCTGAGAATTTTCCAAGTGATGCTGCTGGTCGGGGGACCATGCATTCACAACCACTGCTATTAACTGTAGAGCCAGTCTCAAAATGACCAACGAGGCGGAGGGACGATGTCTCTACTCTGCTCCCCCAGCTTTCTTCTCTTCTCACCCTGAGAAGAGGCCAAGATTTGTTTGTAGTTCATTTGTTTTTCTTTAGACTAAGGGTACACAGTCAAAATACTGTTTGGAAGTTACTTGGGCGAGTTCTTTTCCCCCTTTCTGTGTGATTTTGTTATTCATTTGAAGTATAGTTGGGTGCATTCATTTCTCTTTGCTTTCAGTTTTAGGGTTTTTCCCATACTTGTTGATTTGGTTTTTTGAATATGTACAACACGATATGATTCCAAAAGTCAAACTATGAAGAAAGATATGTATACTCAGACAAATGTCACTCCTTCCCCTAGTCCTTCCATGTCATCACATCCTCCCTTCCACCCCCTGTAGGTAACCAATTCACTAGTTCCTGGTTTATTGTTCCTGCTTTGCAAAAACTATTGTTCCTCTTTGCAAAAACAAGGAGATGCATATTTACATTCATGCATGTACATTTTCTTATTGCTCTTCTTTCTTACACATAAGGTAGTAAACTATATATACTTGTTTACCCTTTCTTTTTTTGTTTTTCTTAGCTATATATCCTGGAAATCACTCCATATCAAGAGATGCATATTTACATTCATGCATGTACATTTTCTTATTGCTCTTCTTTCTTACACATAAGGTAGTAAACTATATATACTTGTTTACCCTTTCTTTTTTTGTTTTTCTTAGCTATATATCCTGGAAATCACTCCATATCAATTCAGAAATATCTCCCTCATTTTATTTTACATTTGCATCATACTGCATGGACTGATATACCATGGTTTGGCCATAGGTAGATTATAGTACTTTGCAATTACAAATAATGTGGCATTGAATAACCTTGGCCTTCATATTATTGGAGGTCTGTCTTCCATGCAGACTCCTAGAGGTGAGATTGCTGGGTCAAAGAGTAAATGGACATGTAGTCTTGTTAGATATTGCCAAGTCTTCCTCCACAGGAGTTGTACCCTTTTGCGTCACCACCGGCAATGGATGACAGCTTCTCCAGCAGAGCAGAGCCAAGAGATGGGACACATGCATACGTTTCCCATCTTTGACATGCCCTTTCCAACTTATTGAAATCATGTTTTTGGCTTGTCAGTGAGAAGCAAGCACTAAAGAGAGATTATCCCCAATTGTTATAATCCTTTTATTTTTATAGATTGAAATATTCCCAAAGTAGCTCGAGCATGGTAGGGTTAAATTATCACATTAACATTCTGTTTTGTAACTATATTTTCATTAATTCCATGTGTAGAAGGGGTCAGATCACTGCCAGACTTTTTTATATCTTCTATACACAATGTACTCATTCTTAAATACTTAATTTGATTTATTTCTCATTTGGTTTGAGTAAATCTTTGGGTAGCTCCCCTTCATACCCTAATGGATGAAGCATGGTAGAATAATTTCTGATTTTTTCTGTATCTGTGACTCTCTCTAGTTTCACATGTGAGCGATTAACAGTTAGGTTTAGAATTCATGGGTTACAGCAATTTCTCGTCCATCACTACAGATATCACTCTGCTGTTACAGAGACATCATCTGAGGCCTGCCTCCTTTTTTTTTCCTTTTTAACTTTCTAATAGCCTAATTTTTTTCTACCTGGATCCCTATAGACATCAAACTTTAAATTAAATTTTTTAAAATGTGTACATGTTAGATACTTGCTTTATTTTGTTGATTTTTTTCCTGACACACGATGAGGTTTTTCTTCCTATATAAAAACCAGAGCTTTCGTTATCTTGAAAAAGTTTTCTTCCAGTATGTTTTTTAAATAATATTTCTATTCCATTTATCTTGTTTTTTTTCTTCGAGTTCATCGTATTTCCATAAACTGAGATGCTATTTTCTTTGTTGCTATATACATTACCTTCTCTTTTATCATATTTTTATCTTTTAGTCCTCTTCTTTGGCATTCTTTGATAGTTTCTCAACTTTATCCACCATATTTAACTTTTAGAGTCAATTCAGCCCTTTAGTTTCACTAGCATTAAACTATGTCATTCTTAGTTTCCTAACTTTATTTCTCTAACTCTGCCAAATCATCTTTCACCTTGTATTTTATAGAGTTCATTTTTCTTTCATTTGATTGAAAGCAAACCAAGGTAATGTTTTTCAAAATTATTTCCATTTCCTTTATTAAAGCTTTATAAAATATATACATGTTCTTACTCTACCTCCTGAATCCTGTTTTCTCCTTTCTTGAAGTTTCAGGATATTTTCATAGGCTCCACATGTTGGGTTGGTTTTTTTTTTTTTTATTTTATTTTAAAGTCACTATAAGTTCTTGGGTAAAGAAAGACTCATCTTATCATGGTCTCAAATCCATGTGGGTGGTGTCATTCGAGTACTCTCACAGTTTATCTAAATACTCTTAGATTTTTCCTCACATCTCACAAGCTAGAACCTGGCTCTTCTGCTCCTAGCATTACAACCCAAGGTACCAGCAGTCCAGGGGCCCTTTGCATTTATTCAAAAAGCCCTACCTGATGGCAGCTTTTGTTGATTTTTCCTCAACCTGCAGTTTTCTCCACCTCGGGACCACGAGGTGGCTCATCCAGCATCCCTCCTAGCACTGCTACTCCAGGCATTTCTGCAAAGGACTTCTGCATCAGGAATTGCTGTGCCAAGGAGCAGGTTCCAACAACGGTGACTTCTTCCACAGGCCACCATCACCACTACTCTTGATTCTCCAGACTGGGCTGTGTTAGCATGCTTCTGCCAGACCTTCCTCTGCTTATCTCCTGTCACACAGTAATGTTTTCTTAGGAAGAAGGTTTATGAATTAACTGTCATTGTTTTCTCCTATCTGATTCTAGCTATAGTATATCAAGCAGAAATTAATAAAATCATGGTGCCTTCATTGGTTTGCAGGTAATGCGTGATTCCCACTACTTTTATATTCCTTTGGCCGCTTCTGTCCGATTCAGTTCATTCCCAGCCTTACATCACTATCATTACCACAAACTTCCTTCTAAATGCTCGGTATCCACCACTCTGTCTTGTACGATGTCACGTGGTAGGCTCCTAAACAGTTCTAGTAAACAACTTCCTGGACACGTTCTCCAATCCTTTGCCATGGTTTCCCTTCATAGGTTCAACGTCACCTATCCAAACTCTTTGACAACATGGCCAAGATGCAATTACAACTAGATGCCAGTGGGAAACCAACCAAGATGAGTCTTGGTATGTACAGTAAAGAAGAAGAGTATGTGGCCTTCAGTGAACCCTGTGACTGCAGCGGGCAGGTAATGTAACAGTCCTTTTCGTGCCTTAAACCTTCCTCTCTCAAGCATCTGTATTCAAAAATGGTCAGCACCAACTTTGGGGAGGGCCTGTTTAAAGAAGAAGAGTATGTGGCCTTCAGTGAACCCTGTGACTGCAGCGGGCAGGTAATGTAACAGTCCTTTTCGTGCCTTAAGCCTTCCTCTCTCAAGCATCTGTATTCAAAAATGGTCAGCACCAACTTTGGGGAGGGCCTGTTGGCCTGGGGCCAGAGCTACTGTCCATGCCCGGGGACTGTCAGCTTCCCCTGACTTGAAGTGACATTGGAGCAGCCTCTCATGCCCTGCTGTCCTCTCTCTGGGAAGGACACATGTCAACATTCATATGTCTTCCTTAACCAAAGACCTGTGCAGAGAGGAATAAAATGCACATAAACAACTACCTGAGTCAATGAGAAGAGGATTTTAAAATGATTAGCAGCACCAGGAGATTTTAACATAGCAACCCCGGGAGCATCCCTCAGGGGAATCTGAAACACTGATACCTTCCCTGGGAGAAAATGTCCGTTGAAATCAACCACTTTTTTGAGATGTCCCCTCTCTGCACAAATACACCTCAGAGTCACTTCTTCCCTTGGCCCTTTCCCTTGGAGTGCCAACTACCACCCTGCTCCAGGAACTACTACTGCCAAACCTCCCATATCCAATCCAAGGGCCACAAAGCAGAGGACTATTCTCTCTTTCAACCTCCTTCCCAACCTTCAGCACTAAAGTATAAGCCCTTCCTTGTTCATATCCTAAGTGATCCAGCAAAGTACTGTCCCTAGCGGTTCTAATCTAGTCCAGAGTAACACCTGGACAAAAAATCTCCTGTCGTGTTGCACTTTTATCCAAATGTATCTGGAGAGTGATTCTAGTATCAGAAAATAATCAGAAGTTCTCAGTTAAAAGAGGGTGGCCCTGGGGGTTAATTCAGAATATGTTCTTTTTGTAGACCCAGAAAGCATTTAGTTGTACAATACAATCCTGGTTTCCTTCTCTGTATTGACCATGGAAAGACCATTTGAATCCACTGACATTTATACCTAGCTCAACTCAGATTTAGAATTCCTTGTATGAACACTGGGTGGCAGCCCACCAGTGACTTAACCTGCCACTCTGCCCCTCATGTTCCAAATGAGCACATCAGCCCTTTGCTACACTGACATTTATACCTAGCTCAACTCAGATTTAGAATTCCTTGTATGAACACTGGGTGGCAGCCCGCCAGTGACTTAACCTGCCACTCTGCCCCTCATGTTCCAAATGAGCACATCAGCCCTTTGCTAATTAAAGGGCTCACCCATCACTGTTGTGGATTGCACGAACAAGATGTCTCCCTGTGCTGCTGGCAGCCGTTGGGGCGGTACCTCGTGCCTGGATTCCACTTTCTTCACTCCGCAGGCTGAGTGGAGTAAGACGTGCAGTGTTGATCAAAGCTTCTTAGGCACCTGTGTCTAACCCAGACCTCTTCTTTCAGGTGGAAATATGGCTGAACCACGTGCTTGCTCACATGAAGGCTACTGTGAGGCACGAGATGACAGAAGGCGTGAGCGCCTATGAAGAAAAGCCCAGGGAGCAGTGGCTCTTTGACTACCCAGCTCAGGTATTCTCCCAACAGGACCTTCGAGGGCCCCCATTGGTCCTGGGCTCTCTTCTCAGCAGCCTCCTTCTGCCTTCGGGGTCTGCTAGTCACCCATGTGCTTCACAGTTAGGAGGAGCCTGAATGCCAGACAGCTGTGAGGGGTCAGCAAGGAGCAAGGGATTGACAGTCATGACTTAATTCAACCGTTACCTTGGAAAGTCAAGGGTGCTCTGTTTTTACCCTCATTGGCTGCAGTAGGGAGAAAATGCAGACAATTTAACCCTTGGAACCAGCCTGCTGTGCATGCGCCAAGCTCTGTGCTGAGTACAGAGACAGCGGCAGGGAGCAAGAGGTGGTAACCTGCCCTGCTGGAGCTTACAGGCTGGTGTGGAACTCAGTTGCTTGCACACATGACAGGTGTGATAATAGAGGGCTCAGACTACTCTGAGAGCATGTAGCCAGCTGGTGGGGATTGGGGGCCACCTCCCTGAGGATATGATAGTTAAGCTGAGATTTGAAGTATGTGTTAGGAAGCTTAAAATGGAGGGGAAAAGCAGCAAAGCATGGGGAAGAGTTTGGACAAGGGCTCAGAAGCAAGGTAGAGCATGATGTGTCTGAGGAGCTGAGAGGAACCGAGTGTGGCTGAAGCAAGAGGAAGGGGGACAGGAGAAAGAGGCAGCAGATGGATTTCCAGAAGAGAAACTAGAAGCCGGTTCTCAAAGACGATGTTAAGGAATGTGACCTGAGTCTAAGATACATACCTGAATTCTTTATAGGTTTCTCAGGAGAGTAATGAGAGAGAGCGGACCTAATGAGAATTTTATTTTTTTATTTTTTATTTTTACTTTTTTATTGAAGCATAATTAACTACACATATTTGGGGAGAATAGTGTTGACTATCATTATTTATGTACACTATGTGATGATGAAATCAGTATTATAAGCATGTTCATTATTACAACTTGTAATTGCTGTTTATGTCCCTTACCCAATTTCTCCCTAACCACCCCCTCCTGCCCCTTTCCCAACCTCTGTAGCTTTAGGTCTGTTCTCTCTGTTTGAAAGTTCACCGTATTATTGTAGTCTATGTGTCTTTCTTTCTTTTCTTTCTTTCTTTCTCTCACTTATGAGTGAGGACATGTGGTATTTCTCTTTCTGTGCCTGGCTTATTTCACTTAACACAGTTTTCTCTAAGTTCATCCATGTTGCTGCAAATGGCAGAATTTCATTCTTTCTTAGACTGAGTAGTATTCAGTTGTGTATACATACCACATTTTCCTTATCCAGTCATCTGTTGGTGGACATTTAGGTTGGTTCCATGTCTTGGCTATTGTAAATAGAGCTGCAGTGAACATGGGAGTGCAGGTGTCCCTTTGACATGATTTCTATTCCGTTGGGTATATAACCAGCAGTGAGATTGCTGGATCGTATGGCTGTTCTATCTCTAGTTGTTTGAGAAACCTCCACACTGTTTTCCATAATGGCTGTGCTATTTTACAGTCCTGCCAACAGTGTAGAAAGGTTCCCCTTTCTCCACGTCCTCACCAGCATTTGTTGTTCTCAATCTTTTTAATAATGGCCAGTCTAACTGGGGAGACATGATATCTCAATGTGGGTTTGATTTCCATTTCCCTGGGGATTAGTGATGTTGAGCATTTTTTCATGTACATGTTGTGCATTCATATGTCTTCCTTTGAGAGATGTCTATTCAGCTCCTTTGCCCATTTTTTAATGGGATTATTTGGGGTTTTTTGCTGTTGAGTCATTTAAGTTCTTTATATACTCTGGTTATTCCTCCTTGTCTGATGTGTGGATGGCAAACATTTTCCACCATTTTCTAGGTTTTCTTTCTGCTCTGTTGATTGTTTCCTTTGTTGTACAGGAGATTTTTGGTTTGATATAATCCCATATGTTTATTTCTTTTGTTGCTTATGCTTTTGGGGTCTTATTCATAAAGTCCTTGCCCAGTCCTACATCTTGAAGTGTTTCCCTTATGTTTTAGCAGTTTTACGGTTTCAGATCTTATGCTTAAGTCTTTAATCCATTTTGAGTTGATTTTGGAACACATCTAGTTTCATTCTTCTGCATATGAATAACCAGTTTTCCCAGCACCATTTATTGAAGAGGCAGTTCTTTCCCCACTGCATGTGCTTGTTGCCTTTGTCAAATATCAGATGGCTGTAAGTATGTGGGTTGATTTCTGAGTTCTCTATTCTGTTCCATTTGTCCAAGTGTTAGTTTTTATGCCAGTACCATGCTGTTTTGGTTACTATAACTCTGTAGTAAAATTTGAAGTCAGGCAGTGTTGTGTCTCTGGTTCTATTGTTTTTGCTCAAGATTGCTTTGGCTATATGTGGTCTTTTGTTGTTCTATATGAATGTTAGGATTGTCTTGTCTATTTCCATGAAGAATGTCATTGGTATTTTGATGGGGATTGCACTGAATGTGTAGATTGCTTTGGGTAGTGTGGATATTTTCACAATGTTAATTCTTCTAATCCAAAAGCAGGGAATGTCTTTCCACCTTTTTGTATCCTCTTTAATTTTTTTCAGTAGTGTTTTATAGTTCTTGTTGTAGAGATCTTTCAACTCCTTGGTTAAATTGATTCCTAGGTATTTTATTTTGGGGGTGACTATTGTGAATGGACTTGCTTTCTCGACCTCTTTTTCTGATAGTTCATTATTACAGTATATAAATGCTACCAATTTTTGCAAGTTGATTTTGTATCCTGCAACTTTACTGAAATTGTGTATCAGCTCTCAGAGCTTTTGGGTAGAGTCTTCAGGTTTTTCCATATATAGGATCATGTCATCTGCAAACACGGACAGTTGGTATTCATCTTTTCCAATCTGGATGCCCTTTATTTTTTTCTCTCACCTGATTGCTCTGGTTAGTACTTCCAATACTAAATAAGAGTGGTGAGAGTAGGCATCCTAGTCTTATTCATGTTTTTAACAGAAAAGCTTTCAGTTTTTCCCCATTCAAGATGATATTGGTGATTAGTTTCTTGTATATGGCTTTCCTTCTATACCTAAGTTGCTGTGAGCCTTTATCATTAAGGGATGTTGAATTTTGCTGAATGCTTTTTCTACATCTATTAAGATAATTGAAAGGGCGCATGGACCCAAGCTGATAAGACAACAGGACCCGAGCTGACAGTTCGCCGGGGAATTTCCACTTTATTCAAGGACTGTGTGTATATTTATAGGGAGCTGCCTTCCGGGTTTTGATAGGGGGTAGACAGGGCAGTAGCTGATTGGACGGGGCTGGGCAGGAGGTGAGCCTTGACCTGTGACTGGCTGAGGTTTGGCACGGGTGGGCTTGGGTGTTGGCACCGGTGGGCTTGTTTGCTGCAGAGAAGAACCCGGAAGGGCGCCATATTGCTAGGGAATGCTTTTCCCCCTCCCCCTCCACTTGAGTGCCCACGGTATCCTTACATTCCTCCCTTTTTCCTCTGTTGTGGGAATGGGTCATCGTAATCTTTGAGCTACTTCTTGCTGGATGGGGGCATAGTAGGGGAAGAGGAATTGGGAGGAGATCGGGGATTTTGTAACAGGACCCAAAAGAGGGTAGAGAATAAGACAATTTTGAAGGGGGAGAACTCTAGAAAGGTCCCCTGAAGCCACAGGTCAGTGATTTGTTGAGTCCAGTGTGTAGGAGGCTGTAGGGGAGAGCATCCAGGC